AAAACATCGAAGGAATGAGTGGAGGTGAATATCATGCATAAATCTATACAAAGAGTGTTCAATGTAATTTTTGTATATATTCGTACCTTTCGATTTTATTCATGCTTTGTATAGCATATAAAGAGCTTACAATAGACTTAGCAGCTCTATTTTGGTTTGTTCTTGAGGTTATTTTAGTTCTATAAACATAAGTCGTGTGCAGTCATCATGCTAAGGTAAAATTATTCAAAAATAGGTCATTTAAGTAGTTATTTTTGAGGTTTTCTAACTCCACAGAAGAGTATTAAGTGTTAACCAGTATAGCACTTTTAAGCTACTCGGGTGGCACATAGTTAGATGGGTATTTGAGGTAATATCTAGGACTAGTTCATTGCCTTATTCTATAATGGTGTCATGTGAATACTTATGGAGAGTTTTGACTATAGTAAACTATCTTAGACCTCTTATCATGCGATCATTCAAAATTTAAAACTCTATTTTTGTAATTTATATTGTCTATTAAATATTTCTTAGAATATTTACTTATGAGATCTCATGCTAAACATTTTCTCTAATCTATCTTCTTTTTTGTAGATCGTTAAGGGATAATAAGAGATTTTTGGAAGATTAACTCTTCATGAACAGACATGTAAAGGTATCATATGACTTAGATAGAGCAGTGTTGGTGGATGAAGCAAGGAGTTATATAGAAGAAGAACAAAGAAATGATAAGATTAATAATAATGGGATTGTAAATAGTAAAATAATATTTTATTATTTTTAAAAAGATTGACAATAGCAAAGGATTGTCAATGGATTATGAATTACAAATTTTTTAAAGATTTTTTAATATTCAATGGATGTCCCTTTATAAATGGACATAAATGTTATTTACTTATCACTTATTTAAACAAACTTTTCTTACTCCTTTTATATATTTTTTTGCTCTTCTTTTTTCTCCTCTCCGAATCGTCCAATGATCTTTTATTGATTAAAAATTTAAGGATAAAAAAGAAGTTGAGAAATATTTTTTATGTTAGTTAGATTGATTTAATAATTTTAGGGTGACATCATGTTACAACTAAAAAGATAATATTTAAGATATTTCTATAATAGCTAGGCAGGTCATATTCTAGGCCTATAATTATTATTTTAGGTATTTATATAAGTAAGGTCAATCTTCTTACAGAATTTAAATGATAATATCTGAGTATTTGGCGGCAATGGTATCGTAAGATCAATAATTGAAGGATTGTAAATAGTAAAATAATATTTTTATTTTTTTATGAGTTGTCAATAGCAAAAGGGTTTCAATTGTAAAAAGGGATGGTGAATAACAATTTCTTTCTTACCATAAAATCTTTTTTTTATTCTCCTCCTTATTCTTCTCTTAATTATCACAATAAAATCTTTTTCTTACCATAAAAAGGGATCAGAGGAGGATATGAGAAATAAATGTTTACGTTTGTTAGATCAATTTAATATTTTTAGGGTTTAATACATGACAAGCCCTAAAGATAATATTCCAGATGTTTTTACAAACAACTCAGAAGGTCATATTTCCAGCCTATAATTATTATTTTATTATTATTATAGATAATTGTATAAAGTAAGTGATAAAAAGAAAAAAAAAAGTATGTAGTTGGATTGTAAATAGTAAAATAATTTTTTTTATGAGTTATTTTGCTATTAGCAAAGGGGTTTCCATTAGTAAAAAGGGATCACGAATAACAAACTTCTTTAAAAACATATAATATTCCTAAGATACTAAATACTCTTAATTTATCACTTAATTTCAATAATTTTTTTAACTCATTCTATACAATTTCTTTTTCTTCTTCTTCTTCTTCTTCTTCTTCTTCTTCTTCTTCTTTTAACATCATTCATCGATGACAACGATATAAAGATATTTATTAGATTTTTTTAACATTTTAAAATTTTAATATATCAAATTACAAGTCTAAAAGATAATATTCTAGACCTATAAATATTAAAATTATATTTTATTTTTTTATATAATTGAATGAAGTAAATGAGTCGCCCTTACAAAATGTCTTTCTATTCAATCTTTTTTTTTTTTTACTTCTTCTTGTTTTTCTCTTAATCGCCGAAACATCTTTCATCGACGAAAACGATATGAAGTTCGAAGAGAAAGATGTGAAAAATATTTTTATATATTTGTTAGATCAATTTAACGTTTTAAAATTTTAATATATCATATTACAAGTCTAAAAGATAATATTCGGGACCTATAAATATTAAAATTATATTTTATTTTTTATATAATTGGATGAAGTAAAAGAGTTGCCCTTAGAAAAAGGATTATCAGCGGCAATCTCCTTTGGAGAATGTAAGGTAATTTGCATGTTTGCGGTCTTCCTCTTCGCAGCCTTTCGTGCCCGAATCTCATGCGTTTTCTTCTTATTGCAGATAACAGCTAACAACAAACAAATACCTTCTTGTCTATGACGTACGATTAAATCCTCGCCATTTTTGCACTACCTCGTTCTCGATCTATAAATCTGATCCCCGCAGACCCTCGGTGATATCACGGCGCACTTCCACCAAAATGTCTAGTTTTGTCGTCGGACTGCGCCGCTTCCTCGGCGCTCTCGCACTCTTGCTTCTCGCTCATCAAGCAGCGGCGGCAGAGCCACTCGCGTTCGTCGGGAGAAGTGGCTCCAAGTTGGTCGTCAACGGCTCCCCCTTCCTCTTCAATGGGTTCAACGCATACTGGCTGATGAACGTCGCGTCGGAGGACCAGGCGAACGTCTCCAAGACCCTGAGCGACGCTTAGGCGGCCGGGCTCACCGTGTGCCGAACGTGGGCGTTCAACGACGGCGGCAACCCCGCGTTGCAGTCGTCGCCGGGGGTCTACAACGAGAAAATGTTCCAGGTGCGTCCTGCCTCCGCTTCCTTCCCATATCGCAACGCTGTCGACAAGCGTTCGTGTGGCGACCTCAATCCATCCTCGTCTCTTTAGGGGCTCGACTTCGCCGTCTCGGAGGCCAAAAATCACGGTATCCGTCTCGTTATGAGCCTGATCAACAACTTCAAGGACTTCGGCGGCAAAACTCAGTATGTACAATGGGCTCGCGACGCAGGTGAGGCCATAAAAACCGATGATGACTTCTACACCAATGCCAAAGTGAAGCAGTACTACAAGAACCATGTCCTGGTAAATTACGCGTCGTATCATATCATATCATATTCATGTATGTCGATGAAATTGATCTCAACTCTCTTCCTCTTCTCTCCTGCAGAAGGTGCTAACACGAGTCAACACCATCACCAAAGTAGCCTACAAAGACGATCCCACCATCATGACGTGGGATCTAATGAACGAACCGCGCTGTCCATCAGAACCCTCCGGTCAAACAGTCACGGTGAGAACCCTCTCGTTAGCATCAACCACAGCAGGGAATGCTGCTGCTGCATTCATTAGTCTCATCGTTTGAGTTAAGCGATTGCATCGAGCAGGCGTGGGTTAAGGAGATGGCAGCGTACACGAAGTCCATCGACAGCAAGCACTTGTTGCAGGTAGGATTCGAGGGTTTCTACGGGAGTTCCACCCCGGACAAGATCGGGCTCTACAACCCTGGTGGCTACAAGTATGGCACGGACTTCATCATCGGCAATCAAGTCAATGAGATCGACTACACCACCATCCATGCTTACCCGGATGCATGGTAGACCGCATTGATAAATTCATATATATATATATATATATATATATATATATATATATATATATATATAATGTAAAAC